CTTCCAAAAAGTGTAGCATGGAAAATGGGAAAAAAGAGTAAACTGTGGAGAAACCCGACAAACATCACCTCACCCAGGTGATCAAGATTAATATCAATATTGATGGTGTTTTGAAAAACATCACAGCTAAGAAAAATGGAAGAATACATATGAGCTTCAGAGTTTGTTTTGACAGATATTTTAAAGAACTTTGTAGCTTGAAAAAGAATTCACAGGTGTTAAAAGAACACTTGAAAAAAAAGACAGCATTTTTAAAAAGGGCAGAATATGTAAAATAAAATCAACTGAGCCTGTTTACAGTCTGTTATGCAATTAAATTCTGAGGAAAGGGACTCATACTAAAAAGCAGAGAAAATGTTTTCAGTCTCCTGTTAAAAGGTTACATTATGAAATTCATTGATGACTAAGTTCTGTGATTTAATTGCTACAGGGCTTTGATATTCCGCACACGCAAAGAACCCAGTTTTGAACGGATAAATGAGGACTGCAGGCTGTCTAGAGAAATAAATTTAAAGACAGTATCAGTAGATTATATATATATATGTATATATATATATATATATTTTTTTTTTGCGGTACATGGGCCTCTCACTGCTGTGGCCTCTCCTGTTGCGGAGCACAGGCTCCGAACGCGCAGGCTCAGCGGCCATGGCCCACGGTCCCAGCCGCTCCGCGGCATGTGGGATCCTCCCGGACCGGGGCACGAACCCGTGTCCCCTGCATCGGCAGGCGGACTCTCAACCACTGCGCCACCAGGGAAGCCCAGTAGATGATATTTTTACTTGACTTACTAAAATTAATTATGAATAAAGGCCAAATTGGCACATTCTACTCTGAATACCCAGAAATCCACCTGTACTCTTCCTTTGGGGGCCTTCCATTCTCCATGCATTAAATTATAAATTTTAGTCCTTTGACCCTTTAGGGAAAAGGTTGGAATGTTATGTCAGGACATATAAGCACCCCTATTTTTTATTGGGGTATAGTTGCTTTACAATGTTGTGTTAGTTTCTGCTGTACAACGAAGTGAATCAGCTATATGTATACATATATCCCCTCCCGCTTGGACCTCCCCCCTCCCAATTCCACCCTTCTAGGTCATCACAGTACCGAGCTGAGCTCCCTGCGCTATACCGCAGGCTCCCACTAGCAATCTGCTTTACACACGCCAGTGTATATATGTCAATCCCAATCTCCCAGCAGATCCCACCCTCTCCGCCCCACCCCCGTGTCCACACGTCTGCGTCTCTATTCCTGCCCTGCAAATAGTTTCATCTGTACCGTTTTTCTAGATTCCACATGTATGCGTTAACATACAATATTTGTTTTTCTCTTTCTGACTTATTTCACTATGTGTGACAGACTCTAGGTCCATCCACGTCTCTACAAATGACCCAATAAGCACCCCTATTTTAATATGTCTCAAATATTTTGGAGAATGTCACTGGTGACATGTTCAGCATCATTCTATGTTATGTTGCCTGGCTCATGGAATCCTCCATTGGTTACTTGGTCCCCCAGTCAACTGTCTCACCCCAAGAAGACCAGCTCTGCGTCTGAAAAATATTTAAACAGATCAGAGCTCTGTGCCTTGAGCTGTACCGATTTTGCTGGTTTTATCTCCTTGACATGTTACTGTGTGGTGGAAGAAAATGACCAATTCACCCTCGAATTCCTCAAGCAGGTCTTTTCTGAAGGAAGGGCTAGCAGATTCTTCATTTCTGGGCTGCCACGGCCTCCCAAGCGAGACGTTCCTCCTGAATATTTCCCCCAGGCCAGGCCTTTCATTCCAGGCCGAATATTGAGGCCAGCAATCAATAAGCTGGGTCTGCATCTGCCTTTGACAGAGGGAACACCAGGCTGACACCAGCCAGTCTGGGATCAGCTGTTTCCCTGCCTTTGATCTCCTGTCTAAACTCCCTGGGCGTCTGCTTCGGCAGAGACACAGGCCACGTCATGCTGGTATCTCCTCCAAGGCCCATTGTGGCCATTGTATTTGAGGAGGGGATCGCCGGACAGAGTGACTGGTTACAGCCCTCCCGGACTGCAGGAAGCCTTTTTGATGCGGGGCAGATGATAATGAGAGTCTAATTGAGTGATTAACTACCTCCATGGACTCGGAGGTTTTAATGACACCTCTACATTAAGGTCTGCATTTCCCAGCAGGCCTCCAGTTTGTAACTGTATGGCCATGATATTGCAATTATAAGCCTTTCCTTTAACCAGCAGGGATTTAACAAATGGACTTGGTTAATCACAGCTAGATGGCCCTCACATCTGACTTTGTTGTGAAAAACATGTATAACTTCAAGCACAGGATCGAATTATGAATACAGGCCATTTCAGGTCCATGGTTCCATTCATAATATGAAAACTGAGTTTCAGAAGATCTGGGCAAACTAACCGAACTGCATCATGACCAAAGTTAGCTTCAGCAGAGTAAAAATACCTTCAAAATAAGAACTGGTTTTTAAGAGTGTCCATGCCTATGGTTCTTCAGAGCAATGAGAGTCCGCCTAGATATACTGTCTTTAATTAACTGGGTCTGAAGAGCAGATTAATGCAATGTTAAAAGGAACCAGTCTCAGCGGGTTCTCACAGTGGGAAAGATATCCAGGGCTTTCAATTTACAAGGTCTTATTACAAAAGTTCCCTGCTGTTTTGGTCCCTGGTCTTTCTGCCTGGGAGCAATTTAATGATCTGCTTTAGAGCGGAGAAATGGTCAGAGAGAAAATGTTCAGTGTTATGTGTTAGCGATCAAATACCCAGTGGAATTTACAATGGTAACCAGACACTTCCTTTTCATATCAAAGTAGAACAGGGACAAGGACATCAATACACTTAATTTGAAAAACCCTAATTGAACAAACTGGTAGTCCTCTGTGAATGTTTGCTGGTAACAGGAGGCTGGTATTAGCATGAGGCCAACATAAATGATACGGACGATGAGGACAATGGAAAAGAAAAAGAAGGAAGAAAAGAAGAAGGAAGAAAGAAAATGTATTTAAGGATAAGAATATGACTTTGACTTGCAAGTCGCTTAATAATTTATTCTTCGTTTATTCAACATCATTTGAGAAATATGTATAATTTTCTACCATGCCCCAGGTCTCCCACTGCCTATGCTGGGGAAACATCTGTCCACACGGCTCTTTTGTGGAAGTGATGAATTCACTCATTTTTCCTTCCTTTAGTCATTCAAGAAACTGTTGCTAAGTGGTCATAATTTGACAGGTATTATTGTGCTCTGTTGATAATATTTCAGTTATCTTTATTTCCCAGATTTCCTAAAATGCAAAAGGTCTACAAATATCCTTGGTGAATGACAAATAACTGAATATTGAGTGAAAGATTCCTAACGTGGTTAGCACTGGAAGCACAGTCATAAACATTTATGGTGCAACGTGCTTAAAAATGTAATAGAAATGTGTACACAGCATTAGGGAGCCATGAAAGAGAGGCTTCCCAACTCTGCTTAACTGAGGTAAGAAAACATAGAGGATGTGAAATTTCAGCTGACCGTGTTTTGGTTAGGGCACTGTTAGAGAGGGCAAAAACTGGAATCAGGGGTGAGCTTTGAGCATCTGCTCTTTTATAATACAGATTCTAACATGTGTGAAGCTTACGTTGTACAGACCGGGAAGGCCTTTATTTCCAAAGGACTAGCATAAACTAAATGGCACAAGAAGAGTTTTAAAATCTCACATTTTCAGTCCTCATGCTACAATTATCCCTTAGCTCTAAAGCTTCGTCTTATCTTAGAATAACATATTAGAATAACAGGAAGGTAGGTGAACCAAGCGGCTGTTTACACTTTGAAATTTAAGGAAACACTGAAATTTTAACTCTACCTTCTTATCTGGCCCATGCTTTCATCACTAGAATTCTTCTTTCTTCCAGTAAAAGTGAAAACATTGTCAGGCATGTTACTGCAACAGTCCAAAATGACTTTGAAGTTTCCTCTAGTCTTGTCCGAATATCATAGTCTACTTTCTTAGATTAACCTCTTCTGACCTTTGAACATAGACTTGAGCCCTAAAATATCAAGCTTCCCTTTAGACCAATGGCTTCAGGCTGGATCACTAAAAACTTCCTTCAGGCTCAACTCAAGAATTACGCTTTACACTCACACTGTATTTTAATGATGTTTAAGGGTAGACTTGGTACACTGAGATGTCAAACTTGCTGAGTTCATTGAACTGAACATTGTCAGATCTTTATTTGAAACAATTAAAAAGCATTACACATTATGTAAGACAGAAAATATCGAGAAAAGCACTGCTTCTCTACAAGAATAGTTACTGCAACTTCTTGCTAGAGAATGAGCGTCTCTAACATATGTTTGAACGAACTAGACCACTTGAGATTTTAACCCGTGAAAACCCAGCAAAGCTCTGACCACTGGCTGGTCACTTACATGAAGTGTTATTTGCTGACACCACATAGCGAAACTCGACATTTTAGTGGATAAGGATGTGGCGCTTTCCAAGTGAGTGCATGCAATGAATATGAAAATTGGTGATGACAGTAGCTCAGTAAGTTTATGAGGCATAACTGTCACAGAAAAGTAACACCTTCTAGTGGGAAAGTTGATAAGGGCAGATAATTTGAATTAGGCGAGGCAAAAAGGTCAAAACTGATGACTTTGGAAAAATGTGAAATGATCCTGAATACATTACTTTCATTTGAGGTGTGCTAGGTGCACGATGTAAGGGGTAATGGATAAGGAGGGACTGAGAAAATCGTGTGCTCCAAAGAACTATTTTGTTGCAGAAAATATTCCTGAGCTTCTTTGCTTTTCCTTGACTTTTTTTTTTTTTTTTTTTTTTTGCAGTACACGGGCCTCTCACCGTTGTGGCCTCTCCCGTTGCGGAGCACAGGCTCCGGACGCGCAGGCTCAGCGGCCATGGCTCACGGGCCCAGCCGCTCTGCGGCATGTGGGATCTTCCCGGACCGGGGCACAAACCCGCGTCCCCTGCATCGGCAGGCGGACTCCCAACCACTGCGCCACCAGGGAAGCCCTCCTTGACTCTTTTTAAAAGCATTTTCACTTCTATCCTGGGTCTGTCTTTTGTTTGCGACTTGAAAATGCCTAATAAGATACCCTGCCACGCATGACCTTACAACATGACCTTACAACAGAATCTCTGGTACATAAAGGTTTTCTGTAATTCTTTGGGTTTTTATACAATAATATTTGATATCTCTATTGGTTCCCTAAAGAGGATAAAATCAGAATGAAAATTAAGTCACTGGAATCAATAAAAATGTCGTAACTTATAAAATGTTACTATTAAGAAGCAGCCTTCAAGGTCTTAAAGTTTTGCATGTAAATATTGTATCTTTCAGCGATATTAGGCTATTGCACATGCAGATTTGATCTAATAATTGTGTCTATTCAAACACTGAAAATCTACCTAGGTAGTAGCATTTCTCACCTGTAAATGAACCCTTGTCAGAATCCTCAAGCAAAAGGAGCTCTTATCTTAGTCTGTACAACCTTGGGACCCACACTCTAGCATGAAACTATTATAATCTTATCCAAATAATAGCCTCAAATGAATAGAACATGTCTTTCCTCTTTTAGAAATATGGCTTAGAGAAATTTATCTGAAAACCACACACACACACACACACACACACACACACACACACGCGCGTGCGTGCACGTGCAACCCTTGAACAGGTGATCTGCACAATATGATGTCACACTAGAGCTAGTCTTCAAGTAATCTGTGGTTGGAATGAGGGGGATAAGAAATACTCTAAAGAACATATATTTAAGAGATTAAAAACATTGAACATTCTTCTACCCTGTAGAAAGGATGTTTAAACATTTTAATTCATTAGAAAAAAGTCACTAGCCCTTACTCTTTTGTAAAATCATAGACGATTACAGCCTTGTAACAGTAAGGGAAGATCTTGTACAGGACCAGTACAGAAGGGACCCTGAATATTTAATTTTATAAGTGGTAAGATGAAAGTCCAAAGAGAAGATGTGACTTGTCTGCAATCACAGAGCTATTTTGTGGCTTCACTGAAATCAGAAACCAAAGTTTCTGGATATACCACCCTAGTTTTCTGTTTTCCATATGTTACCCTTACTTCCACTTGATATGAATTTTATGAAAAAAAAAGTAGCATTTCTCCTGGAAGAAAGAAGCTAAAGTCCACTAGCAAGGCTGCTACCAATCTGGGCTAGGTCCGATTGGAATATGGCGGAATGCGGTTTACTTTATTTGGCTGGGAGCATTTCTCTGTAACCTGAGGATTCATTAGTTTGAAGTGCTGGCCTCTTGCCTCTTTCCAAGGCCATTTTAGATGCAAATTGTACCCCAGACATCATTTTTAAGTGACAGGAAAATCTCTGGAGATAACAAGAATCAGTCTGTGAAATTTATGGACCCTTTGCATTTTCTAATCCTTCTTGATGAATAACTCAGTTTCCAGCCAGGGTTTGAACTTAAGAGTTGATAAAGCATCAGTTTAAGCTGCTGGCTACTAAATCAACGTAAGCGATGGCTTAATCAGTCTTTCTACTCCCTCCACTACCTTCCCACAGAATTCCATCAGACTTGTATTGAGTCAGGTCAGCAAGAGACAGATACCCTGACAGGCCATTTGTAGCCCATGGTTAGCATGGTAAGAGTGTGTGGACCAGCAAAATGATGCAGTTCTACTAATGAGGATATCGGTAGTCTTCAGAGCAAGGCTGAAAACCTTGACCTAGAGATTGCTGTAGTTTAGGCAGGAGGAGTATTATGAAAAAATGGGGAGGAGACAGCTAACGACTTTGATCATTTATAGAGGAGATGCCTTTGGTGATACTCTGTACTTATTCTGGTTTTCTAACCTATAATAGGAATGCATGTCTAGGCGAAGAACACACAGCAAATTGGAGGGGCAGTTTACAGACCCTTTCAAGACGGGAAAAAGCGGGAGAGTAGATTTTGAGTGAGGGTGGGTCCTCCTTAGTTATCCTCTCTGGAATTTGATAATGGAAATGTCTTCCGAAGGTTCATCTTCTCCTGGCAAATTGAGAAAAGTTTCCACTGTTCTGAAACCAAAGTTTTGGCATGTAGTTTTAAGTGTAGGTTATGTTATGCAGAGAAATCGTTATTGCCGCTGACGGATGATCCAGTGTGGTAGTTTGTCTTATTAAAATTTTGCTGTCTATATAAGTATGCATTTTAATTATAATTAAAAAAAAAAAAGAGTGTGCCCAGTGTTTAACCAAGCAGATGTCTTTCTATACCCAGACCTGTGAAGAAGCATGGGTGCACTGTGGCTTTTCTGATGCTGTGTGTGGTGGGTAAATTGATATTTTATGACTCTGCTCTCTGTTTTCTAAGCCAGATTCCTGAGGAACATGAAGATGAAGGCTGTCTGAGCTGAGAGGAGGGTCATTGTGATAAGATGTGAATCTTGGGGATCAAGGGGTGGGTTTCTCAATCTTGTTTCTTCGGATCTGAGTGGTTGTCAGAGAAAGTCTGTTAGTAAAGAGCAGAGGCATGATGAACTACTTGACTAAGAAGAGATCCACCATGAGGGGAGAGGACGTCTACTTTTTAGTGAGGATTGATGTTTCTGTACATCCTCTATAGGAAGATGGTTTCCTAAAGCCTTTGCTACTTAAAGTGTGATCCATGGACCAGCAGAACCAGCATCTCCTGGGAGCTTTTAAAAAAATGCAAAAATCTCAGGGCTCTTCTTACTAAAGAAGAACCTGCAATCTAACAAGATTTTCCAGTGGTCCATCTGTATCTTACAATTTGCGAAGCACTGTTCTAAAAGAAAGCTCCACATGAAGATAAATGTTTTTCTTCCTCGAGGGTCTGAGGACTTTTGTGACAGCCCAAGGGTCCGTGGTCAAATCCATCTCCTGGGAGTGAAACGAATTATACTGTAATTTAAATTTTGCAAACCAGTTTTCATATGCATGAGACACCCATTGTGATTTTAAATGATTCAGATAAATTGAGGCTTTTTCTTTCTCTGTCTCCCTCTGTCTGTCCCTCCCCTTCCCTCCTTCCTTCTACAAACCTCTCCCTATCTCTTTCTCTTCCCTCCCCTTTCCTCCCCTCCCCTCCTAACCCCTCCCTTTCTCTGTCTCTCTCTCTCTCTCTCTGATATGGAAAATCAAATCTATTAGTCCATAAAACTTCAGTATTTCAGTGTGAAGACATAACTATTTTCTCTTACTGATTTAAGAACCTCTGTGGAGGCTGGGGGTTGAGAATCTGTATTCTCAGGCACGAATGTAGGATTTTGCTGGCAGAATGAGTGCCAAAGTGCTTACCTGGACAGTGTCCTCAAATATCAGTTACCCAAAACTAAAGCAATAGGGTCTGTTATAGAAATAAAAATACTTTTTCACAATTAAAAATTTAACATTTTAGTTTAGGTTGCACTAAGTTTTCCCTAAATGGGTGGACTTGCAAAAGCAAAACTGATTTTTCATCTTTTTTGGGGAATGTACTTAAGTAGGTACAAAGAACTTTGTGGCCAGATGGGAGTTTGTTTAACAAACCAAAAACTTGCTCTAAAAACCAGGTTCCTTTTTTCAGTGGATTTAAAATAAATTACTGAATAAACAAATATTTACCTTTAGCCAACTGCTATCCTAGGTGAGAGATATGATAGGTTTTTCTAGTAATAATTTTTGCATTTTCAGGTATACACTTAGATCTGCACTGTTTTCATTTCAAACTCAGGGAAAACATCTGTGATTATAGATATAAAGTGGTTTCCCTGTAGCTTTAAAAATATTTTCTTCCAAATTATTTTTCACATCCAAATTTAGAGTAAATGATCCAGTCTTTCCTTTTGATGGCAAAGGGGAAACAGTCAGTATAAAGGAATGCAAATTAGATATACTCAGAGTCAAATTGGATTTCCAAATAATAGTAAACAGTGATCATTACTAATGATAACAATGTTTAGATAAAGGAAATATTGTAACTTTGATGTGTTACTAATGTTGTGTTCTTTTGGGTTAGAATAACAACAGTATTCTTAGATGTAAAATAATCCTATAGATCCTAGAGATGATTGAATTAAAAAAAACTAGAAGGAATAAGCAGCCCATCTTTCAGTTTCTGATTTATATATGGCTGCATCTTATTTCATTTATGATTTCTCTATGACCAGTGTCACAGGAACAGATCTGGAATGAGACACCCCCATTTGTAGTGAAATGGCAATTCACATTATTCTTGTTTATGTCATGTCTCTAGGATGACTAGCTGGGTAGAAGGTAGGATTCATCTATCTATCTATCTATCTACTATCTATCTATCTATCTATCTATCTATCTACTATCTATCTATCTATCTATCTACTATCTATCTATCATCTGTTTATTTTTAGGAGCCACAATAGGTATTTTCTTGGTCTCCAGGAAACAAAATTGACTGTATTTTTGTGTGTGTGTGTGTACAAGTATATTGCCACAAAGGAAACTTGCTTCTTGCTTGGTATTATGTTTTTAATAAACTAAACTAGAAGAAAATAGTTCAATGAAGATACATTTATGATTATTAGGCTGCTCCTTCTACATAGAGTATTAATTTTGAAATCATTATGTATGTTAAATTGCACAGTCAACAAAGTTCATTAGAAAACATTCTATAACATGGTGTTGTATTCTCTAGGTTTAAAAGTATGGCTATAGGGATTTCCCTGGTGGCGCAGTGGTTAAGAATCCGCCTGCCAATGCAGGGGACATGGGTTCGAGCCCTGGTCCGGGAAGATCCCACATGCCGCGGAGCAACTAAACCCGTGCGCCACAACTACCGAGCCTGTGTTCTAGAGCCCGCGAGCCATAACTACTGAAGCCTGTGTGCCTAGACCCCATGCTCCACAACAAGAGAAGCCACTGCAATGAGAAGCCCGGGCACTGCAACAAAGAGTAGCCCCCGCTCACCACAACTAGAGAAAGCCCACGCGCAGCAACGAAGACCCAACGCAGCCAAAAATAAATAAATAAAAGTATAGTTATATAAATTATTGACTTTAGAAAGGG